ACCAGCACAGACCCTGGGCAGGGAGCTGCAATCCCTGCCCCGCCTGCGCAGGGCTCTGCTCCCTGCACGCCGTGGCCAGAGCACACACACGTGGCAGGGGCAGGGTGCCCATGGGTGCCCAGCACCTTCCCGCTCATCCTCTTGGCCCCTGCTCCCTCCTGGCCGTGCCAAGAGCTGCCTGGCATGGCCCTGGCAGGAGGGGCTCCTGGGGTCCCCGCACAGCCGCGCTCTGACCCCGGCTCCCTTCCTCTCTCTTCCAGCCCTTGCAGCCATGAGCGAGGACGACTGCCCCTCCGTCTCCAGCATGAGAGCTGCATTCATGGCCACTTACAGCCGTGCCATCAGAACTCCACCTGCCCCGCTGAGACAACCAATGTCCCTGCAACAGCCCCCCACCACAGCCCAGGGACCACTTCTCAGCGCGGCTGCAGCTGCAGCTGATGCTGGGCCCAACTGAGCCAGCCCGCAAGGCCAGGCAGCTCCTGGTCTCTGCAGCCCCAGGGATGGCTCCCTCCTTCCATTCCCTTCTCTTCACCCCACTTCATCCCTCCCCTTGCCCTGACCTTAATAAACATTCACTTTCTCCCCCTTATCTGCGTCTTGGTGCAACTGAAAGGGCACAACCCCTCAGCCCTGCAGCTCACGGGCCTGCTCCTGCCTCTCTTTTGCCCCTTGTGCCGTGGGCACACACCCCCAGGGACACGGGCACTTCAGGCTGCAAAGGGGCCTGTCCTGAAAGGCCACTTCCATGACACTGTGCACTTGAAGATCTTGCTGAAGGGTGTGCTGGGGTTCCCCAAGAAAGCTGCAGACTTGGGTCATCCCTGGGGAGGCAAGGGGCTTGCTTCTCAGGGAAAGTGCTTCCCAAGGAGTTCTCAGGGAGGGAGGCACAAATGTCTCCCTCTGGCTCTCTGTGACCCTTTCCCTCCTTGTGTCCCATTGCCCTTTGGAGAGAGGCAGGGCAAGGGACACTCATCAGCCTGTGGGGCAAAGCCACGCTGGGGCAGCTCTTGAGACTGCAAGCACAGCTGGCACTGCGTGTGCCCTGAGAACAGAGCTCCTCTGCCAGCCTCTGCCCCCCTGACTGCCAGTGCAGATCCAAGAAACATGCTGGAATCAGGCATGAGGGTAGTGCCTACAGGGGTGGCTGTGGGAACATCTTGCAGCACAAGGATCCTTCTCTGAGGAACATCCAAGCACATCCCAGCCTGTTGCCTGCTGTGCTTTGCCTCGCTGGGTTTTGCAGTGATGCTCCCACGCTGCCCCTTCTCCTGCCACTTCCCAGAGAATTTCCCTTTCATTTTCACTTCCAGATCCCACTTCCCAGCACGCAGGAGCCCCACTGGCTCTTTTTAGCCAAGGGAGCAGGAGGGACACGCTGCAGCCTTTCCCTCTGCCCAGAAGTGCTCCCATTCCTGCCAACAGCAGACAGCCCACAGCAGGGAATCATGGAATCATTAACACTGGGAAAGACCTTGGAGACCATCAAGTCCAACCATTCCCCCAGCACGGCCAAGCCCACCATTTAGCTCTGCCCCCATATGCCACATCCACACGTTTCTTGAACACTTCCAGGGATGATGAGTCCACCACTTCCCTGACACAATCCCCACCTGCTGGAATCACCATCTGCTGCATTCCCACCACCTCCCCGGTGGAATCAGCATCACCCACTGCTGCTGCCCCGCTGCCCCATTTACTCTGTCCTTGGGGACCAGCCCCCCAAAGTCCCTGGAAGGCAGCTGGCACTGGACACACATCACGGAGCTACCCCTGAGACGGCTCAAGGGATGTCACCTACCTGGTGTCCTGAGCATCCAGGTGACACGCTCATCCCTCCACCACGGCTGCCAGGAAAGCACCCCGGGTCGAGCTCTCCCTGTGGTCGGTGGCTTGGCTGCACGGCTGGAAAACCTGGGGATGCCAAACCCATCGCTGGTGGGTCTGTGCCAGCCCGGCGCTGGGATCCCTGAGCCGGGGATACCTCCTGGCATCCAGGGTGTCCGCCCTGAGCCGGGACCCCTGAGCAGTGGGGTCCCTGCTGGGATCCCGGAGCTCTCCCTGCACCCGCAGGGATGGAACAGGGATGGACACCCCCACAGTACCACAGACCCGACCTGCAGTGGGGGATGTCCCCGCACCGCCCTCAGCCCGCGGGAGTGCCCAGATCCCCCCAGACAGCTCCGGGAGCACCTCGGCGATGCCCGCGCCGCGCCCCTCACCCCTCCGTCCCCTCTCCGCTCCTCGCTCCCCTCACGGCTCCTCTCACCCCTCACCGCCCCTCTCACCCCTCACCGCCAGTCGCTCCCCCGTCTTCCCCCACCGCCCCCCTTTTCTCTCCCCTCACCGCCCCACTCACCACTCTCACCCCTCTCTCTCCTCCCGCCGCCCCTCCGGCAGGGCGGGATCGATCGCGGGCGGGCGTCACCAACCCAAGAAGCAAAGCGGCGGCCCCGCGGGGGCGGCCCGCGGGTGATTGACGGGCGCCGCCGACCAACCGGCGCGGCGGGCGGGCGCGGCGGGGGGCGTGCCCGGCGGGCGGCCAATGGGGAGCGCGCGCCGCCGCCCCTCAAATCAGCGGGCTCGGCCGGGTGTCCCCGGCAGAGAGTTGTTTGGCGGCGGGCGGGCGGGCGGGCGGCGCAGCCGGGCGGGCGGGAGGAGGAGGAGGAGTAGGAGGAGGAGTGCGGGGAGAGGGGGGGCTCCCCTTTGTTCATGGGGGTGTCCAGCCGGGGCTGAGGGAAGGCACGGAGGGGGTCGGTGCCTCCCGTTGCCCCATGGCCGTCGCTGAGGGGGCGGCCGTGCCCTACGCCGTGGAGCTGGGGCTCACCGTGCTCCACACGGCGCTCTACGGCGCGCTCTTCCTCTTCGCCTACCTGCAGCTCTGGCTGCTGCTCTGCTACCGCGAGCGGCGGCTGAGCTACCACACGCTCTGCCTCTTCCTCTGCCTGCTCTGGGCAGCCCTCAGGACCACGCTGTTCTCCTTCTACCTGCAGAATTCCCTGCAGGCCCTCCGCCTCCAGCAGCCCTTCGCCCACTGGCTCCTGTACTGCCTGCCCGGCTGCCTCCTCTTCTCCAGCCTCTGCCTCCTCAACCTCTACTTCGCCGAGGTAAGTTTTGCTTGGGGGAAGAAAAGCCTCCCTCGCGAACCCCCGTCCCGCAGGACACCGGGGTTGGAACCTCCTCTTCAGCCACCTCTCCAAAGTTGGGAGTGCCCCGGAGCCAAGGCTCCAGGGGTGGGATGGAGCGGGGGGGTGGGATGGAGGTGCGACTGTCCAGGTGAGGGTGGGAGGGAATGCCGGGGGTCTGCCCTCGGTGTTGGCTTTGGGAAAGGCTTGGGAGGATGCAGGGATGTGCCCTGAATCCAGGCTTGGGGGGATGCAGGGATGTGCCCTGAATCCAGGCGTGGGGGGAGGCAGAGGGACTGTGCCCTGAATGCAGCCCTCAGTATAGACTTCGGTACAGGCTGAGAGGATGCAGGAATTGTGCCCTGAATCCAGCCTTGGGGGGGATGGGGGGTGGGATTTGGGGGGGATGGTGTGAGCAAAAAGCGTGCCCTGAATCCCAGCATCAGGGGGTTTGGGTGTAGGGCTGTGCCCTCAATGCAGACCCCGGGGTGGGGAGGGGGGAGGGAAACAGGCTCATGCCCTGAATTTGGGATTTGAGGGGTGCAGGGGCATGCCCTGCTCCCAGGTGGGATTTTCCTCTTTGCAACCCAGAGTCATTGCGGGGGGGGGGGATCACTTTGGAGGGGAGACTGTTTTGCATCTTTTTTTAATTGATTCCCGTTCTCCAAAGGGGACCAGAAAGTGGCAGCAGCAGGGGCTGCTCTGGCCTGGAGTGATGCCAACCATTACGTCACCAGCCAGAGCCTCTTCTGCTATTGTTGCTGCGCTCCCTCCTTCTCTCTCCATCGCTCCGCTGCGAACTGGGCTTGTTGTTCTGCAGCTTGTTGTCAGACAAAAAAGAAAAAAAAAACCAAAACCCTGAGATCCCTCAGACAACAGCCCGGGGCAGGACAGGGGGGCCCCTTCCCAGCTAAACCATCGCTGCTGGGACAGTGTGGAGCTGCTTGTTGTTATCACCGAGTGTATCCCTCCTCTTCTGGGCTTCCCATCACTTGTGCCGTGATTTTTTATCCTCCTTTCCCCGAGTCCACTTGTCTTTATCTCTCAAAGCCTCGTCTCTCCCCTCCCCTCCCCTCCTCTGAATATTTTGTTTCTGCTCCAGTTTCTCCCGAGCAGCCCTTTGCTCGCCTGCCCTCCCCAGTTTGGTGACTTGTTTCATAAATAGGCAGCACTTTTTCCTTCCAGCTTTGTTGTTGTTGTGGGGGATTCTTTGCTCTGCAGCTCTCAGCTGTTCTCCAGCCTCACAAAGGAATCGCTAACACACAGCGAAATCGCTCCGTCGCTCCGATGTGTCACCCAGGGGAGTTATGATTTCATTTTCCCGAGGACATCAGCGCTCACATGATAATGGAAGACTTGGAGCAATTGGGTTGTTCAGCTTTTTCAGTTCTTTTCCCCCTTTCCTTGCTCCAAATAAACACTTGGAAGCCAGGGGTGAGCTGCCTGTTGCCAGAGCTGCCGGTGTTGGATGTGGTGTTGGTTGAGTGGCAGCAGGATAACAAATGGTGCAGAGTGTGCATAATCCATCTTGTCTGTTAAAGGCAGCCTGACCTACCAATTGCTCCAGCCAGGAGGGGTTTGTGTCCTTTGAAAAGCAGGGATCCTGTGCTCTGCTCCACAAAGTGGCTGCATTTCTGTTTTCCTCTCAGTCACTGGACTCAACAGCAGATTTGCCTCTCTCCGGGCTTGTTTAAAGGTTCCCTTAAAGTAAATTCAAATAGATTCCCAGGCTTCCCTTCCTTCCTCCCACGATATCTGTTTTTCAGTGAACTCTGCATATATCCCATTTCTTTCTCCTTCAAAACCTAGAGCCAAGGGAAATCCTGTCTGAGGAAATAAAAGAGCTCAGAATCTGGAGTGGGGAAGGATAAAGTGACTTGTGAAAGTGGGTCTGCATGCTCAGCTCCAGGGAGGGTCCAGAAGGGGAGTCCAGCACTGTGTGGTGTTTTTGGGTGATCTCACAGTGGTGGTAGTAAAGCTCCAGAGGTTTGGAGAAAGAGTGGAGCTGGATGGACTGAAAGCCCTTGGTGATTTCCTGGCTCCCATCTCAAGATCCAGACATGACTGGTGTGTTTACTGGTGTGACTTCCAGCAGAAAGTGCCCAGTTTATAAGGGCTAATTGGTAGCAATTGGAAGGACCAGCAGAAGGACCCTGGGCTTCTTCTGCTCTGGGGGTGGGATCCTGATCCGAGATGTCCTCGGATAAAAGCACAGGCTGCTGCTGTGCTGAGGGCCTGGCTCATTGTCTCTGTACACAGTGCCTCCTTTGTGGAGATGCTGGAGAAATGGCATCTGTGGAAGCAGTGGAAGAAAACATGGCCTGTGCTGTTATTTGAGCTGATCTTGCTTGATTTAGGGAGCTCCTCAGACTATGGAGAAGCTGAGGATGAAATGGTGATGGGGAAGAAGCTCCAGGGAACAGATACCCATGGAGAACTGGCATTACTTGGCACTCTGGGCTGTTTTGGGGCTGAAATTCAAAATTCTTAAATTGCCTGGTGTTCTCCTTTCAGTGGGGAGAGGTCATCCTCTTCCTATCCCCTCCTGGCTCCTGAGATTCCTGAGGGGATGCAGAGTCCTGGCAGAATGAATGTGGGATGTGTATTTTTTTTTTTCATAGAGTCCCAGAATGGTTTGGATTGGGAGGAACCTTAAAGCTCATCTCATTCCAAACCTGTGCTGTGGGCAGGGACACCTTCCACTGTCCCAGGTTGCTCCAGCCTGTCCTTCAACACTTCCAGGGATGGGGCAGCCACAGCTTCTTGGGGCAACTTGTGCCGGGGCCTCACCACCTTCACAGCCAAGAATTTCTTCCCAATATCCCATCTAACCCTGCCCTCTCTGTGTGAAGCCATTTCCTGTTGTCCTATCACTCCATGCCCATGTCCAAAGTCCCTCTCCACGTGTCCTGTAGTATCCCTTCGGGTGCTGTTTCCATCTGGAACATCAAAGGTGTAATGCCTTTAGCTTGGGAGCATCTCTTCCTTTCTGCTTCAGCTTGTGCCAGAATGAGTCCTTTCCTGGAAATCTGGAATTCACAGTACATCAAGTCAGAATTCCTGAGATCCACTCCCAGTCTTGCCTCAATGTCTCAGGTATCCAAACAAGATGCTCCTTTGCCTTGCCTTTGGAATAGCTCCTCTGCTGCCAGCTAGACATCAGCTTGAGTAATGCCACCCTTCCAAGAGCCTGCCAGTTCCTGCTTTTCCCTGAGACATGGAAATACATGGAGGGAGCTGGGGGGGCTCAGCCTGGAGAAAAGGAGGCTCAGGGGGGACCTTCTGGCTCTGCAACTCCCTGACAGGAGAGGGGAGCCAGGGGGGGTGTGTTGGGCTCTGCTCCCAGGGAAGAAGGGACAGGAGGAGAGGAAATGGCCTCAAGTTGTGTCAGGGGAGGTTCAGGTTGGACATCAGGAGGAATTTCTTCTTGGAAAGGGTTGTTAGACATTGGCAGGGGCTGCCCAGGGAGGTGCTGGAGTCCCCATCCCTGGAGGTGTCCAAGGAAGGACTGGATGTGGCACTGAGTGCTCTGGGCTGGGGGACAAGGTGGGTACAGGGGGTACTCGATGATCTCAGAGGTCTTTTGCAACCTCAGTGATTCTGTGAAATGTAGCCACAACCTCCATCTTGACCCTTTCAAAGCCCTTCTTGAGCACTCGGCTCTCCTGGGAATCAGCAGCTGGTGCAGGGATGAGTAAGGAATGCTGGAGTGGTGGGAATGACGGCCGGCATGGCCAGAGCCCTCCAACAGTCTGGGTTTGCATTGAGTGCTCCATCTGATTAGATGACATCAGCCTCTTCCATCCCTGCCTGCTCTAATTGCACTGGAGCAGACATGCTTGGAAAGAGCATCCAGCCTTTCCAGGGAAATGTTTGTCTTTGCTGTCCTGTACCTTCCTTCTCAGCCGGAAAACTGGAAAAACCTCCATCCTTTCTTGCACCTTCCTTGTGTGGCAGACACCTGGCAGTGCCCTCTGCCTCGGAGGGACAACTGGTAAGGGGTCACTTAAACTCCAGATTGCCTCATCCCATAGCTGATGATTCCCGTGTTTCCCAGATGAACAGGTGTCCACACTGGCAACCAGCTATTCTAGGAAATCAGGGAACAAGCGAGTTGTACCCTGTGTTCATGATGGCAGAGAGTGATCTCAGTATTAGTGGGGATGGTGAGAGATCCTCCTCATGGATAGTTCCAACTTTTCCTCTGAGGGGTGGGTGGGGGTTTGAACATTTGTTACGGGGTGTAATCCCAAAATAGTCTGGGCTGTGCTCCAGTTATCTCGCTCTGGTGAGGGAAGGGATCTGTCTGTGGATGCTCCTGCAGCTGAGTGAGG